TATTTTATATCACCACCACAACGTACCTCTAAAAGGGCTATCAAAGAAACCTCCGTCTATTGATTAAATACCGAAAGCCCATGATAGAGGATCAATACATATAATTGGGTACGTTGACTGCATTCCTAATGAAGATTGTTTCTCGGCATTAGGGGGAGATAATATACTACTCCGTAGCTTTTTGGAATGCCAAGAAATTTCATAAGAATAAAAACATCTTCACTATTTAAATCCATGTACTAGTTAGATTGAACTGGAAGTTCAAAAGATAATCTATTTGCGATTTTAGCAAATAATCTGCCAAAAACATACCTATTGATCATAATGATCATAAAAGAAGTGACTAGGTCCTATATCCTTGGACCAAACATATCTATCGATACTCCTTGACACCAGAAGTGTAGGAGATCTATCGGTGAAAGAAATATGGATCGTAATACTAGATCTAGTAAAGAAACATTGTCACTCTTGAAATAGCTTGAATAATTATGTCCTGCAGACGTTCGTCCAGATGACGAAAAACCCTGGTAAGACTTATAGGTGCACCAAACAAATGTAATACTAGGGACGCGGAACGACCAGATCAAAATATCTTTGGGAAATGTTTAGAATTTGGTTGTTTTAGAAATTGCCATTACTTTTACAGATATGGGAGTTTTACAAAAAGGTTATAGTTGTCGACAACACAATTGCCATCACAAATTGCTCGTTATATGATAATCTGGATCCAGAGTTAGGCACCAGAAGTGCCATGACTATTTAATATATAAAGGAGCAATTAAGGCATAGCTCGACTCGCTAATATGAATAAATTCTCTTTATAACAATACACCATTAAGCGTTAACCCTGAAGGTTACAAATGGGTGTGTGCATGAAAGAGAAGTAAGAATAACAAGGTGATATGATATGCAGCGAGTTTGTAGCCTATGGGTTCACGCAGAGACCCTTAATTGATTTTAATCAAATATACTCTCCCACGGTAAATGGCATTAAGTTTCGCTACATAATACAATTGGCAGAATAATAAATTTAGATATGCAGTTAAATTTATCTTGAGAAATCCCTGATGGATTCATAATTCTCTTTTTTAAGTATTATTATGTGTCATTATCTACTCTTTAAAGGGTTGCGAATGGAGTTAATATCCTCATTGAAGGAATAATATGTACCATTGTGTGCTCGATAAAGGGTTGATAATGAACTTATTTATTATTTATTATCTCAGTCAAGATTGATGGTGTAAACATCAATGAAATATATAAAGAGCTTGATAGTGTCAGTTCATGTTTAAAGACTGAGACTTTTGAAATAAAAAGCTTGTGAAAGATATAAGTATTATCTCGACTTGAAGATCGAGTTTTTCTTTGAAGTTTTTTTTTTTTTTTTTTTATATATACACCAGTCAGCCTACATCTAAAAATGTTTTTTCACATGTCTATATGCATATAAGTGTCATGTTTTATCAAACTAAAGGTTGCCCAATAATCTCCTGAAGCAGATAAGGAACCTTGTTGGACTCGAAGTCCCTTACTTCATTATCGTTGGAGCACCATTATAGAACCAGAAGTTCCATAATCGCAACATATTTGCGATGAAATTACTAGCAAAATCTAGTGCTCCCCCTACAAATGAAGTACTTGAATAATGATTAACATATCCTCCGGTATCTTCGAGATACAAAGACATGACATTTATGTAAGAAACCATGATACGGTTTTAATAGGCTACTTGGGTACTGGCTGTTTTGTTTGATCCCCGCAATGCCAAGTCCAAACTGGTTATACAATGAATTTCCCTAAATGTTCAAAATGAGGACAATAACACTTGTGTTGCACAAATGTTATATTAGCTCTAGAAGAGCCATAAGATTATTGTACACTACTCTAAGTGACAATCTAGAAGAGTTGTCCAATCCATCTCTTCAAAATTTGAAATATATGTAGAACTTGAAGATTGTTATCTTCAGGGGGAGACTGGAAGTACATTTACTCGAATCAATCCGGAAGATTGAACATTGAACGTAAAATCCTGAAGATTAAGTCATAAAAGACTAACAATTGCGCACTATTTGCAACGAATAAATACATAAATATCATGTACTCTTTTCCTTACTAGTTTTCTCCCATTGGATTTTCTAGTGTGGTTTTTAACGAGGCATGAGTATGATATAGTAATGACAATGAGGAAAAGTTGCAAAATAATTGCTTAAATAGACAAACCCAAAAATCCTGAAGATTATGCGGTTTGCGCCCTGAAGGCTTATGGTTGTACTCTTTTTCCCTTAACTAAGTTTTTCCCACAGGGTTTTCTTAAGTTAAGGTTTTTAATGAGGCGACCAAATACAATATATGTTTTTACATATATCATGTACTCTTTTCTTCAACTAGGTTTTTCCCATGTGGTTTTCCTAGTGAAGTTTTTAATGAGGCATGAATATATATTTTTTTTATTGTACTCTTTTCTTGTCTAGGTTTTTCCCACCGGGTTTTTCTAGCAAGGTTTTAACGAGGCAAGGTCGTGGCCAAATAATGTCCAAGGGGAAGTGTTGTAAATAATATTAAGTGGACATTATTATAGTGTTTATAACACTTGTAACGGTCGGAGGATTATGACCACACTTATGGTTTCCGTTACAATTGTACATTATATATATGTGCTAATACCTTCTTGTATAGAGAGAGTTTTGGATGCAAGATTAATAAAACTTCCTTGTCTCTTATCTTGTCTCTACTTTTCTTCTACTTTTCTTATTTTGTGCCACTTGCAACTGTATTCACCGGTTACCGGTTAGGAGCTAAATGGCCAACGGGCATAATTCACCGGTTGCGCAGTATAAAAATAATGTACATTGTATTCAGAAGATGTACATTATTTTTGTACTGAGTATACATTATATTGTATAATGTACATATGATATAAAAATAATTTAGTATATTAAAAATGTACTTTTATTATAGTCCATATAACATTGTGTGGACCATAATTTGCGGCACACCTTCTATAGTCTAGATACATGCATAAGCACTAGCGGAGTAGTACACTATCAATTAATAATAAATTAGGAAATAAGTTCAGCCAAGTTGATTTAACTAATAATGATATACTAAAATACTTCAAAAGAAATTATTCCTCATAAAAATCAAACATGTATTATATTTTAGAAAATTTATTAACATGTTAACATGTTTTGTTCATTTTAAAATTACGATTTTAGTTCATTATTTATACCAAAATTGTAGACTCAATCTATGAATTATTATCCTATACAAAAAAAAAAAAAAAAAAAAAAAAAAAAAAAAAAAATTCTTTTAATTATGTTGAAAGTGGTAGTTTCAATCTATTACATAAAAATTTTGTTAACATTAACAATTTATTTTGAATTTTTAAATTATTAAAGGACGTTTGATTATAGAGAGATTCAAAATAAATTGTTAATATTAATAACATTTATAAATATGTCCTTTAATACTTTAAGAATTCAAAATAAATTGTTAATGTTAAAAAAATTTATAAATAATGGATTGAAGTTGTCCCAAGAGTTGACACGTGTTCGTAGGGCTCGTGTCATGTGCGTGATCAGTTAAGGTCGAGTGGTTGAATAACTCACATCAACAAAGTCTCTTGCTCAAAGAGAGTGAGGGGGCTTGTGATGAGGATATATGCCATGGCCTATACTGGTCTTGTCCGACCTGACCCAATCACACCCATCTCGAATGATAGTTTTGATCCAAGTTAGATTATGGGTTGGGTCACCCGCCCTTCACTAAGCTCCATTCAATTCTCGACATCATAGCTTTGAGAATTACGAGCCTCGTCAAATCACTGTCACCCAGAATAGTTTCAAGTTTCAACAAATGGTAGCACCGACCGTCGTGCCAGTGATTGGATGCCATGTGGTCTAAGACGTCGAAGACCCGACATGTATCCCCTAGCAGCTCTATAAAAGGTGCAAAAAGGAGCATTAGTGGAGATTTTTTCGAGAGAAAGAGAGAACTGCTTATATACTCGAAAGCGATCAAAGATCTCTCAACACTCCTCCATAATCCATATTAGATATAAAGAAATTAAAGTCTTTATTTTCCACTTACTTGTGTTAGTATTCTCTAACACCAGCTACTTCATAGTATATCCGGTATCCCACGTTAATGTAGGTGTTCGATTCTTGTTACAAATATTGGGGGCTGGGATTTGAGTTTGGATTGAGGTCTTTTTACACAGAAGCGTACATTTTAATATTGAGTCTCAAACCTATATTAGCTTGATTAACCTCTTCATGAGCTTAAGAACGGAGTCATAAAATCCATAATATAGTTCGACGAAGTCAAAAAATCGTTGAGTTATTAAAAAAAAAAAAAAAAAAAAAAAAAAAAAAAAAAAACCTAAGGATATTTCAACAGCACAAAAAGCATTGCAATCGATGATTACAAAAATCAGGTTTACTGAAACTTTGAAGTGGTCAAAAACACGGAACACTATCATCATTCTCTGTCGGAACTTTGTTGTCGTTAGTATGGAATACTAAAATAACTAACAATCAAACAACTTTGTTTGCAAGCCCAATAGATTTTGGTCATCCGCTAATCTTCCATTCGTGGATCCTAAACCACCATTGACCATTTGATCAATCCAACTCCAATAATGCAACAAATACTATCAAATTTATCGAAACAGCAGTTTACACTTTACAAAACCTGTAATATAATATTTGTAATTTAAAATTACGTTAGAAGGAAATAGTAAAAATGTTAAGTTCATTAATATAAATAGAAAAATATTCATTCTCGCAACTTTAATTAAAATTTGATAGTTTGGATATCTTCATAAAAATGCCATATTTCTATAATGGTACAATCGAGTCTTTTTAATTTTAATTTTTTAAAACTTCTTAAGTTCTTATAGTAAAAATTTAATGAAAATTGCATTTCATAACTGACCAATTAAATGATGATTGGGCTGCTACGTTAAACACCTTCCCAGTTTAATTGCCTTGTTTTTTGCAACAATGTCCAGCTGCTAAAGAATAGTCTTGGAGGTAACGTACGAGGTAGAACCATTTCGCTCTGTTTCTCTGTCTTCTACTATACATTGTGGCGCCGGTCTTCACTGTCAACACAACACAAATATTTAAAAACTGCGCTTAGCTTTCTCCCTTTTCTTTCCCTATCAACCTCAACCCGAAGACCCAACAAGATTCTCTCTTTGAATTTGATTCCAGCAACATGAACGATCTTCTCGCAGTAAGCCAAATTTTCTTCACAACTCATCAATAATCTTGAATTCAGTACTGAGATTTGCAGTTGTAATATACTTTATTGCGGGGAAAAAAAGAAGAAAAGGAAGATAGTATCTGAGATACAGTTTTCCAGTTCATATCGTCTCAAGAGTTTGAAAATTTTCCTTTATGTTTCAGGATTCTAATTATAATGATGCTAAAGACAATGGTTCTAGAGAATCAGACATTGAGATGGGCACTCGGCTTCCGAGGAGTCAATCTGATTCGGGACTGGATTCTTTCAATAAGCAGGTAAGTTTCAGAACTCAGAAGCTATGAATTAATGGAGGAGATCTCTTTATAAGTTGCAATAGTCCCGTTACTGATCGATCGAGCATATAATATATAAAATATGAACGTGTAGCCTCAGTACAAAAACATATCCTTAAATTCCTTTAATGATCAATCGTTTTCGGGTTCTTCCTGTTGCAGATACAAGAGGTAGAGAAACAGGTGGATAAGCTCTCTTACTTACTCAAGAGCCTTAAGGTAAAGTTAATGCTTAAGGAAAAATAAAGTTACGAGCTTTTGATGCTAAACAAAACCAATTTATCCAGGATGCTAATGAGGAGTCTAAAGCAGTTACAAAAGCATCAGCCATGAAAGGTGGGGGATTGCACTATACTGTTTAATATTTCTAGAGTGATCTTGTTTCCTGCAAATGTAGTTACTAAGTTGACATTCTATCTTTTGCTCCAGCAATCAGGAAACGGATGGAGAAAGATGTGAACGAAGTTGGAAAGATTGCTCGCAATGTGAAAGGGAAAATAGAAGCAATTAACAAAGATGTACTCGGATATATTGATTTCTTTTGTTTAACTTACAGTAGAGTTGAGTAAACTGATCATATTCCCCTTTATCTCTATAGAACATGGCAAATCGGCAGAAGCCTGGTTGTGGCAAGGGGACCAGTGTTGACAGATCAAGAATGAATTTGACAAAGTGCGTTTTCTGCCTCGTTTCCTCTACATTTTAACTGTAGAAACAAACAGCATAATAACAATCATGTTTTTCTATATCAAGTGCAGTTCCTTAGCGAAAAAGTTCAAAGACGTGATGACAGAATTTCAGGTGTTTTTTTTTTTTTTCTTTATTCTGTAGACCTGTTCTTCATTTTCCTTAAATTTCATGCTGTCTTGCCTTGCCATATTCTTCCTGCAGGCACTGAGACAGAGGATAGATGATGAATATCGCGAGGTTGTTGAGAGAAGGGTCATAACAGGTGTGACTCGAATATCGTTTTTGAATAAGAAAAACTATATATGGTGACAAACATGTTTATATTTTGATGTTTTGCTTTACCATGCTGCAGTGACTGGAACTATACCAGATGAAGAGGTAAGCTGGAATCCCATAAGTGACAATCGAACTGCAAAACATTTTTCGAATTTTCTGATATGTAGCTTGATGTGTTTGTCAGACAATTAACAAGCTGATTGAAACTGGAAACAGTGAGCAAATATTTCAGAAGGCTATTCAAGAGACAGGAAGAGGACAGGTAATCAATCTACAGTTATTTGTTGTTGGATCTTTCCCTCTTCTTTTTTTCTCTGCTTTAATGTGGAGGAAGTTAAATGCAGGTCCTAAATACATTAGAAGAAATTCAGGAGAGGCATGATGCAGTAAAAGAAATCGAGAGAAAGCTTCTTGATCTTCATCAGATTTATCTAGATATCGCTGTTGTGGTTGAGTCTCAAGGAGACTTTCTGGATAACATCGAATCCCAGGTTTCTTCATCGTAAATTACAAGTTGGTCTCCATCTTAATGCAAGGTTTAATGTGCATTTCCATTTCCATTTCCCTTTCTTTGTTGGTTACAGGTGAGAAACACAGTGGACCATGTACATATGGGCACAGATGCTCTTCAGACAGCAAAGAACCTGCAAAGGAAATCCAGAAAATGCATGATGATTGCCATTATTTTGCTGCTCCTTATTGCCGCCATCATTGTGCTCTCTATCCTCAAACCCTGGAAGAAGTAATCCTGCAAGTCAAACACCCCACTATACTCTTTTTTTTTTTCTTTTTAATTTCCTTAATCCCTTTTCTTTATACTCCGTAACATAATAAAGTGTCGGGTTGAACAGATTGGAGTGTAGACTGTAGAATAGTGTTGGATTGATGTGTTTCATTTCAACTGAAAAGTTTAAACTGATAGTGAAATTGTAAATTTATTATTTTATATATATTATACTCAATACAGTAAAATCGAATAGAGATATGAATACATATAGTAGCCTAGTAGGTAGCACTGATAATTATCAGGCAGTTTATGACTTAGGAGGGACAAAAAAAATGCCCAGAATGACCCAATACCACAAAGATTATTATAGTACATTAAAAAACACAAAGGTTTCACAAGCTGAAACTGGAAGTTGAGATGATCCAAAGCTCCCACTTCATCTTCTTTATTGAGAATGGAGTTCGTACTACATTCTTGCCTTGGCAATCACCACACCGCCATCTCCCATGTTTGTTGTTCCTGGCCTTGTCCATGTTTCCTGGAACTGTTCCTCAGTCACCCCTGCATTTACACTTCATTAGTCCATCTGTTGAGTTTGTCTCAGTTTAAGAATATGGATTTGTCTCATACTACGGATAGGAGTGAAACGGTAGACTCATTGTACAGGTTTAGATGCCTATAAATAGTTTGTATTCCTAAGGGTTGTGTTGCCATTACCATCACTATAAATAAAAGAATAGTTTCATTTCCGTAGATGTAGGCACATTGTGGAACCACGTAAATCTTGCATTCTTTACCTTTCTGTCATTATTATTATTATTGTTTCTTGGTCTTATTAATCTCAACAAATTGGTATCGGAGCACTATTGAGATGACCAGTAAAATTTTACTAAATCAAAATTTTTAGTCTGCCCACAAAAGGCAAAATCCCTCACTCCCAGAGTCTCAGTCACTCATTAGGTGAGACACGATGCCCACCCATAATTCATACAAGAATCAACTGAGTTACCCGTGCGGACACTTTTGGTCAGACCCCAAATTGAAGTTAAAGAAAACAGATATTACCTTTTCCCATAGCAGCAGTAGAGGTGATGCCTCCCTGGACAGTTCTGAGGACTCTGTCATAGTAGTTAGCGCCGGACCATTTCTGATGAGCCAATGTGTCAACTCCATTGCTCCTCTCCTCTCTCTGTATCTTCTCCACATATGCCAGCATTCCCCTCGTCGCGAAATCCTTAGCGAATGTATCGATGATGAGGGCGTTGCCATGGAAGCCAGCGAGAGTGATGAACTGCCAGCAGTATCCCAGTTTGGCAATCCTGGGAATGAAATCCTTCATCTGATTATCGTTCATTCCGGACGCATCCCAGTTGAACGACGGCGAGAGATTGTAAGCCAGCATCATTTCAGGGTGCACGGACTTCATTCCCTGCGCGAATTTTGTGCATTCGACCAAATCAGGGCTTGAGGTTTCCATCCAGATTAGATCGGAGTGTGGGGCGAATGCCCAGCCTCTAACGATGGCAGCCATGACTGAGCCTTTAAACCTGTAGAACCCTTCCCTGGTTCTTGGCAGGTCCCAATCCCAGAAGAGATTGTTAATGCCCAGATTTTCAGCGATTTCTCTGGCCTGGAAATTTGACAGGCATTTCTCGTAGCTTGAATGATTCATCCATTCCTTCAATCTCCTCTGTTTCTCGGATTCTCCTATGTTGAGCCTGTTGATTGCGTCAACCACGGTTTCCGAGAACGTTTTCAGCTCAGCCATTGCTAGCCAGTTATCCTCAATGGCTTGAAGCTCCGGCCCTGTTTTTCCGGCGGCCATGGCCTCGGCCAAGATGGTTGCCAAGCCCTTGCCTTTTAGTGCCGGGTTTGTTACCCCCAGAATGAACTGATGGTCCCTGGTGTCGACATTGGTTTGGATTAAAGTCGCCGCCACGGCGTCGGTTCTCGCCACCAGGACGGTTTCCGTTTCCATGATATCAAACTGCAGCCTGGCGGCCACGAGCCGGTTGATATGCTCGCTCACGGCCACCAGTACTTTCCCGGCCATGTGTCCGCATTTCTTGGTCACGGAGGACTGGTCCTCAATGTGCACTCCCGCCGCGCCGCGCTCCACGAAAAGCTTGCAGAGCTTGACGGTGGCGGTGGTGCCGCCGAAGCCGGTGTCGCCGTCGGCAATGATGGGCTTCAAGTAATCAATGAAGGGAGTTCTGGCCCTCTCTTCCCGGCTCATGTTCATTCGGGCCTCCCTCTGTTTTCTATCATGGTACTGCTGGGCAAAGAAGAGGTGTTGGACCTTATTAGGGACGGTGTCGTACGGATAATCGGCGAGGTCCGGGCCGGGCTCGTTGGAGGTGGTGTGGGTGGAGGAGCACTGCCAGCCGGAGACATAAATGGTGTCCAAATGTTTAGCCATCATGGTGACCTGAACAGGGTCAAGAGCACCGAACGTTCGCGACGCCGTGCCATTGGCCTGGTGATTCTTCAGCGTCCTCCAAAGCTTCTTCGCCATCTCGTTCGACCCGTAGCCCTGCCTCAGGTGGCCGCGTAGCGCCACCACGTCCCTCGCCGTGTACGGGCGGCGCGTTAGCTTGAACCTCTCGGAGTTCCACCATGCTTGCACCTCCGCCACCTCTGCCTCGAATCTCCTCTCCTCTTCCATAATCTGTTCACCACAAAATCCATGCTCAAATAAAAGAATTTAATCAAACTAAACAATACACCGTAAATAAATAAACAAAAAACAAAAATGAACGCCGGAGAAACTCTGGCTCTGTAACCATTGAAGGTGCAGTGAATGGTGAAGCCATTGCTAGATCTCCAGAACTATTTCTGTTTGTGTATGTTGTACATGCAATTGCTGCCATATATGCGGCCTGAATTTATAGAACTAAAAAGCAATTGTTATATTACCTACGTCTAAAATAATATTCAAATTATATATTTGCATTTAATAGATTATGTGCTGGCACATAATATGTTAGCTACAAACACATACTGTTGATATATTATGTATTTGTACTTAACAGATTATTTGCATGTGATTAACATAATATGTATCTATAATTAATAAATACACATAATTTATTAATTGAAAACACATAATTTTTGAACTATGATTGCAAGGTAAATTTTGATGCATGATATGATGATATGACGATTGTTGTGAATCAAAGTTTACCATGTCTATGATGGACCTGTCCAAATTATGTATATCATGTTATTTCAGTTAACAAATTATATACATGTTACTGATTAACGTAACAAATTATGTACATGTAATTAATATAATTATAAACTTTTAATTTATTTATAAATACATACTCTAAATGTTATTTTGAATGGTTAATAATGCAAACTGAATCTGATCCACGTATAATTTGCAACTTAAAAGGGTATGGACCATACCATGCATATACTAGAATTTCCACATCATACTTTTTCATTGAATTGGCATTATCCCCAACGATATATGGAGTATATATTTATATATCGTCATCATCATGAAGATAAAATTGAAACGCGACCTCATGGACCAAATTGTGGAGATCGAGGCAATGCATGGCATTACTTCTTAGACCATGGTTTACATGTGCATCGTGAACATATCCAAATTATATACATATTACAATTAATATATTATGTATTATCAATTAATCTGTTGTATATACATTCAAGTTATTTACATATACTTATTCTAAATATCATTTGAATGATTTACAATGCAAACTGAACTTGATTCACGTATAATTTGCTACTAGAAAGGGTATGGACCATATTTAATATCTAAAATAATATCCAAGATTTTATTTCCACATCATACTTTTTCATTGAATTGGCATTATCCTCAACGATATATATATTTATTTATTTATCGTCATCATCATTGAGATAAAATTGAAACGCGGCCTCATGGACCAAATTGTGGAGATCGAGGCAGTGCATGGCAGTACTTGTTCGACCATAATACTGTTGCTTCTTCAACTTCTACAATTCTAATTACCATGTTTTTGTCTTGTTCCAGTTTATTTTGATCATTACGTAAATGTACACGTAATTGTGGGATTGGATCTGCTTCTTATCCCATTTATCATAATTTCTTGCACTGTTAATTTCGATATTAACATAAACCAAATAATCTATGTATCTAACCTATCTCTTTCATATAACCTATCATATTACTTGTACATCTTAACCTGGTGAACAAAGAATTTGTATTGTATTTTATCATCCCTACAAACTATATATACATTCAACAAGATACATGCATGTATATATAATGACAATAACCTAATAAGCTGAAAACCTAGATAGCTAGTGGTTATGTGAAGATTAAATATTAATTGGCGTATCTTATTTGATAGATCGTAATATTTTATATGTTAGTTCTTGGGTGACTAGTGAAACTCGCAATTACTATTCAAAAATATGCAGACCTTGTAACTTTAAGTGACAAAGAACTACAATGAAGTAAACTAGCTTATGTTATTATAGTTGCAGGCTCAAACTAAGAAAGTTAATGAGTCACTCCGGCTAAGAGTTAAATTTGTAACAAAGTCAATCACATGACCGATTTGACTGGAGTTATCCTAATATGTTATTTTATTCAAGCAGTTGTAATATCATAATGACATTTCCTTGACACTGCACCTACCTAATACTGGCCAACCAACGGATGGTAGATAGCTGGGTTTTTACAAATGTCGCAGCGAGGAGGAGCCACGTGGTGCCTGTAAATAGCCCGGGAGAAGTCATTTCCGGCATTGCAGGCTAACTTATTGATAGCTTAAGACTCGAATTCATGCATGCATGCATGCATCGCTCATATTTGATTGAAGATATACTTTATTCTTTTTACTACCTTTGGTGTGCAAACAAAACAGGGTGGGGCCATTATTCCTCCTGCACATTACTATTTTCCTTGATTTAATTTATTTACGATTAATGTATCTATCGGCCAATTAATTTGTCATAATCATCACCACTGTAAATTGTTTGCTTTTGCGAGAATGCTTAAGATGGACCTCATCTAATTTTGGTCAATATATATTATGTACTGGAGATGGAGATGGTGATTAGCATTATCTACTAAGTACCTATGGAAGTGAGAAAATGGAGATGGTGATTGGGTGGCCGACGTCAGAAACGGCGCGCGTAGATGGATATGATAAAGATAAAGCTAAGGAAGCAGTTTATGACATTGACGAAAACGACGAAGATATCTTTTTTTTTTTTTTTTAAGAATTAATTGTATATCATCATCAAGTATGGTCAGCCATGATGTGGCATATAATGGCAAGCGCAAAACGTTGTCAGTTTAAAGATGAGGTTTAGAGAGTTGGTTTGGTCATCCGATCTATCTTGAATTCACAAGTAGACAGAGAGTGAGTTGAGGTCTGATCTAACCATCTTGGGAAACGCAACTTTTCTGAATTATTGGTTGCTCGCTCTTATACTTGCGTGGCCGCGTCAAACTATTCAAACTCATCTACTTAATTCGACATTTATCCCTTCCGGGAAATAATGAAAACAAATTACAATACATTTAGTTTATCAAATAAATTTTAAGAGAATACATATCTTGTTCTATGAGAATGAAATAAGAATTTATTTGGTTATAAACTTTAGCAATTATGTTTTCTTGCTGCGTGAAATTAAGAAATAGAAACACAATTACACAATAAATTTAACACTACAATTAATAATAAGAAAGTAGTCGGCAACAATCTATATATATATAAAAGTAAAATCCTCCTAACAAATTTTCCCCCCAAAACTTTTGTAGTAAAGTTTATTTGGTAAGTAAATGTCAAATGGAAATTAAATAAAATCTATTAATTGTTATATTACATAATTGGTAATATTATGTATGGTATTATATTCTATAATATAATTGAAAATATTATTGTTCAAGTATAATAAAAATCTTATGAAATAATGTAAGCATAATAAAATAATAATAATAATAATAATAATAATAATAATAATAATAATATAAAAACCATATAAATTTTTTCCCAAAACTTAGCGGCATTTATATAATATCCTAATTTTCTAATTTAATTAATTATCAAAATATTGAAATTATATATTATATATTATATATTATTCATTTATGTGTAGACATACTTATTACTGTATATAAAGTAAATTAGGTAAATATATTCTTCAAATATAAATTAAGTATCTATATATAATTTTTTGGTAAGCAAATGTAAAATTGTAACTCTAATTTTAATTGGTAAATGGTAATTGGTAATTGGTAATATAATAAAAACCATAAATGTTACCCTTAATCATATCTAAACACCTATATATACATCACATTCTCTTCAATACAAACAGTACCAAGTTACGAAGAACCTAAGGGAATATTCTCTGCAACTGCATAGCAATGGTGTAGAGACCAGGGACCTTCAAGCAGAGGAGGAACAAGACCCATATTCTCTGCGTATCCAGAAGAGCTGTTGCACTACACCTACACATTTGGTAAATCTCTGTATCCTTTTTCTACTCTTTTTTTTTTTTTTAATAAAGAATAGAAAATCATATATACCATTGGTGAAATTTAAAATCTATCTACATATATTATATAAACTATGATTATATTGATCATATATATCATCTTCTTCATCATTAATCTGGACGAGTTTGCTCAACCCATTAAAAGGTATTTCTCTAATACTTTATCTCAATCCATTAAAAGTTGTTTATTATTGGACTCTGGGCAAGATTAAATAATGCACTATTCATAGTGATAGAAAAAAAAACTGACCATCTGATTATTAGTGGACTCTGAGCAACTAGATCTGCAGGTCATTTGCATGAGAGGGGACATCATTGAATGAGTTTGGACTATTAATATTTTTTTTCCTGATGTGACAGTCCTTCCAACACCAATAGGAGTAACACAAGGATTTGGAGCCATGGCAATGTGTTGAGGATCATGAGTAGTGCTCCTTGACAAAAGCCTAAAGCAACAGCATATGAATATGATAGAGATTTAATTATTTTAATTTTTATTGATAAAGATTATTCTCTAACCAAACAATTAGTAATATTTATGATTTATTGAACCAACCTTCATATTTTTTGTCAAATGAGTACACATGATGGAATATATGTTCATTGCACGGAATCTTAATATTCATTGAGTTTCCAAATCGTATATTGCATAAGAATTATTTTATCATAATATGAATTGTAACCAATTTAATAAATCTAAATATTAACAAGTATGTATGGTAATTTTATGTATGTTAATATTATTTCATATGGACGTAATACCATAATATGATTTATAACCAATTTAAGAAATCTATATTGATAACCAATTCAAGTATGTGTGGTAATTGTATGCATGGTATTAAAAATAATAATTACGTATGGTATTATGTATAGTAATATTAGGTATGATATTATGTAATACGTAGTATTAATTAGGTTGTACATTTATTCTTTTCATATTCTCATATGGACGTAAATCCATAATATGGTATATAACCAATAACCAATATGGTATATATATATATATATATATATATATATATATATATATATATATATATATATATATAAATTTTTCACTCCTTATTATAAAATATAAAATAATAATTCAATTAAATTTTTATATAAGTAAATAATCTGTAATATTTATCTTAAGTATAATTTGTCAAATTAATCAATTTTAATTTGATAATGATTATTTTCTAACCAAACAATTGATAATATTTACGATTTATTGAACCAATTCATATATGTTTTTTATCATCCAAACTAATTATAATGGTCAAATTAATAATAAATTTTATTAGTTATTAATTAGCATAATATTAATTTATTATGCATAATTATTGTATAAAAATAAATTACC